TAAAATTTTATTTTTTGTTTGTTTTTGTTTTTGCTGATTTTCAATAAATTTGTATAAATTTACATATTCAACATAAATTTATGATTGATTTATAACAAAAAGTGATCAATTTTATAGAGTTTCTGACAAATATGATGGATTAGTGATGAGCTATAAAGCATCGACACATCTCTTGAAGAGAGAATGTAGTGTCAGACATGTGTTGGATACAGACACGTGCACAACACGGTTGGGACACATGCCAGACATAGCAGACACATGTCTGATTAAAATAATGTTTAAATTTAACCCGACATGATTGGGACACATTTCGGACACAGCTGGAACACTTGTTGGACATGGCTAGGACACGCATGTCCTAATTTTTTATGATAAAATTATTTTAATTATAAATATATGATATCCAATAAATAATTACGAGAGAGAATGAGAGAACTATAGAACTAAATAGATATATTTTTTGTGATTTATATTAGAGGATAAAAAAATATTATGGGAAAGAACTAGCGAACTTGAGAAGTAAATATATACAAAGAAGAACCAACTTTCATTATATGATATCCGATGAACTATTTCAAATCTTTTTGTTGATAAACTAGAGTTGGAAGGAATGATATTCAATGATGATGATATCGAAGGCCAAAAATAAACCTCTGAAGCTAATCCTAATAGTTGAAATTTGAATGCTTGATGTTGTAGTAAGTGATTATTTGCTTATATTTTGTGGTTATACTAGATATTTTGTATTAAATATTTTATATTATAAACTAGACAAATTATCATGTCATTCATTTATTATTGTTTGTCATTTTTAATATGATGTTACATTAATATCTATAAACAATATAAAAAAATGTAATGACGTGTCCGCTCCATACTCGTGTCTTATATATTCAAAAAAAGTGTTCCGTGTCTGTGTCACCGTGTCCATGCATCATAGGTGATGAACCTACAATTTTGCATTAGATGTTTTTATCCGTGCATCATAGGTGATAATTTACATAACCATAAAAGGGCTTGATATATTTTTTCAAAGAATTCACAAATATGTCTTAAGTGATATACCTTTTTTTTGTTAAAACTCACAAATGAGCCTATCCGTTAATTAATAAAAAATGTTACATGTCCTGAAAGGATCAAATGTTCTCTACATAAAAAAACTACAACATTCAAAGAAAAATCTAATAAGCCAATAATCCTATCTAATACAATAATCATAAAGTAAAAAAAACAGAGAGGTAAGAAGACAGCCCTCAAGAAAGGAGCCCAAGAGTTTTTCCAACATATTGTAGACATAAAATCTATCACAATGTTGCAACCGTTATAAAGTGAATTTACCATAATGATTTTTACAAATAACCAGTAGAAATGAAGGTTTTGTCTTAAAAATATATTTGCAATCGGTGCTTAATTTACGATGAAAATTATACATCACACATCAACATAAATGTTGCAGCGTCGACAAGACAAACTGTGGAGAGGGAGAGAGGAGGGAATTGGAAAAGGCTACTGGGGCCTTCAAGACAGGAGGATCAACTGATGATTATATTAGAGAAAATGAGAGACCCAGAGAATGAGGAGGGCATACTTCAGATGAGTTAGGTAAGGATTTCAATTAACAAATATTTGACGAGAATTTCTTCGATAAAAAATATTTAGTGACAAAATTTTTTAAATCGGGAAAATATATCTTATATTTATAGATCGGGGAAATAGACCTTCGATTTATACAAAAACTTTTTATTTACAATAGACACTTTCGATATGGGGGAAATCCGATGAGGAGGTATAAATTAAAGGTGTACGGAACTTCTTATCTACAACCTATCAATGTCATCTTTGCAAACGACTATGATGGGGAGCTGAGTAAATATAACCTACAAGAGACCTGTCTCTAATCTCCAATTTATTATTAAACATCTTGTTTAAAGTCTTAAGGTAGAGAAATTAGGGGAGATGAACCCAGTAGACAATCTTGATCTTTCAATCATCTCTAGTATCTACATGACCAATATTACTTAAAACACCACGGCCTGACAGAAAAAACCCCTAGGTCAGGAGGTCCTAATACAAATTTGTGTAGAATGTACAAAATAAATGATCAAAAGAAGAGAACGTTTTGTCAAAAATATGAAACATTTATATAATATTTATATGAAACAGTTTTTTACTATAAAATTACATTCAAACTCATTTTTCTCCCTAGATAAAATTATATTGTCATCAATTTCTATACATTTGTCTTTTTTTTTATATATATTTTATAATTTATATTGTACTGACAAAATTTGCATCAATAGCTTCTGGCCCAGTTTATCACCTCACGCAAATAAAAAACATTGATTCCAGTTTTCTGATACAAATTTAATTTAAGAGCGTCAAAGCACACAATCAAAAGAGAATGACATTTGACTGAAAAACTAAAATACAGCAAAAACTTTGTTTTAGGACAAATAAATGACTTTTGAATACCATTTTATAGAATAATCAATAAAATAGTTGTCTTACAGTAATTATATAAATAATTTATATTTTAAATAAAATAAAATTTTCTTTTGATTACTTTAACTTCACGATTTACATCAAAAGCTCCTAACACAATTAATGTTTTCTCATGTAACCCCAAAAAAATTTTTGTTAGAAGCGCTTTTATGGGTAAGCGTGAAAGACAAATGACCAAAATACGACATTTCATATGACATGTAAACAATAACTATTTTTTTTGGGGAAAATAAACAATAACTACAAAACAACTATTATAAAACAGAAGAGGACACATTTTCATTTTTATTCTAAAATAAGATTACATCGTCCCATATTTTCAGAATTAAAATGTCGTTATCTTTGATCATTTATCTTTACCTTCTAAAGCAAAACCGCGTCATAGTTCTTCACATAATTTTTTCCTGTAATCCCTACAGCTCCCCCACACATCCAATGATATAGCGCAAGGAACACACGCCTGTACTAACAGTTTTACTTGCTTTTAGGGGCTCTATCCTGATAGTTCTATTCTCTCAAACATCTATAAATGAACATGCACGCATGCGTCCTCGAAAATTTAATCACAAGCACAATAAATGTACGTCGAACTCCCGACCACATATATATATAAATGCATCACGTCATTGCATAGGTATCACGTTTGCCGTATAAGCCATAGGATATGATACAAGCCTAAAAGAAAACAAATGGCAAATTCCATAAATACGGAGATTCCTTTATGCAATAGAAGTACGCTAGCTTGTTCACACCGAAACCATATATCAAAATATATGATGTTCATCCTCATTTTCCCCCAAAGTTAGTGTTTTTAAGCATAATATATAAGTGATTTTATTTGTTTGGTAATATTACTGTTCCAATGATCAGTACCGCTTACTTTTTGAAGAGAGATTTTTTTTAAAGTTGCTCAGGAATGACTATCTTATTTGTTATTATTTTATAACTAAGATTCACATCAAAGATAATGAGAAGACAAACTGTATTGTGGACTTCCAATATACTTTAATCACTCGTTCTCTCGCCACCCAAAATCCAAGTTATGGAAAAGGATAGATGGTGTGCATAACCAAGCAGGGAAGAAGACGGTACAGAAGCTATATATGTACTATTATTGAAGTAGAAAAAGGAAAAAAATGTAAAGCTATAAATGTAACTCGTTTGGCGTACGCTTTATAGTTTATATAATCAGAAGATTGTCCTGAAAAAATCGGAGGAAAAACTCCCAATAAAATATGCTAATCTGTAATTAATATGTGATAAAATTAAGAATATGTAATAAACAAACAATGCATTTAAGCAGGGGAAAATTGTCAAGGAATTTTAAATTCAAGCAGCAGAAGAAAAAAAAAAAGAAATATTAAAGCAGAACCGAAAATATTCAACCAGGAAACTCGAACAAATTCAAAGAAGAAGAAAAAAATCTAAAATAATAGCAAAAAAAAAAAAAAAACGAGAAAACAAGCGAGGAAAACGGCAAACTGGAAGGCACGGCGATCGAGGAATGAGAATAACCTAGTTAAGTTGAGCCCGTGGTGGCCTTTTGATAACGTGCGACGGCTTCCCCACCAAAGAAGTCTTAAACGGCGCTAGCTGACTCGCACTCTGAGTCTCTCTCGCCTCCCATGTTCCTATAATAGGAAAAAGCGGTTCGGAAAAAAAAAGGGGAAAATAAAATATCCAGATTGAAGAAAGAAATAAAGTTTTTTTTTCCTAATTTTAGAACTTTCTGGTTCCTATTCTGGGTCTGAAAAAAAAGGTTTTCATAAAAAAATGTCAAGTAATTATGCTAATAATTGCAATTATGATTACCATTAATCAATATTAATATAAATTCTCACGAACAAACAAAATTAATGATTAGTGAGAATTTTTCTTAAATAAAATTAATGGAATATTCAATTTAAAGAAAAAAGTTTTGTTTTGGGATAATATTTTCATGTGTCGATCTATGAGAGGATCAGAAGATTTCTTTTAATTTATTTTTTCTTGGGGTCATTATAGTATCACTCTTCAAGAATCTATCTTCTCCCTGCATTTCCCTCTCCTGTTCCAACTACAAACTCCGAAAAGGATACATCCGTAAGTTTCACTATTTCACTCTCAAATTTAAAAAGAAATATGAAGTTATTCGAAACAAACTCGATCAAGCCAAGCTCAGCTAAGAAGAGGACCAAAAGCTGAAAACTAGAGCAGTTTTCTTATCAAGCAGTTTCCTCATTTAGTGCCTGTTTCCACGTGGGAAGAGACAGAAATAGATAAACTCACGAGAAGAATGGATTGAGAAACACACAGAAAAGCCAAAGATATCCATCCAAATTAAGCCCCATATTCGAGCTCTTTGAACTACTCAAGCCACATCAACAATCCACCTACTATCAAGATCAGACAATCAAAGCCATATATACATCTAAAAAAAACAAAGAACCCGACAATAATAAAAAAAAGAGTTCCCGATCAATTGTTCGGAAGGAAGATGAGGAATGCGAGAGAAGCACCTGGAATCGGTGGAAAACTCATAGAGCTTTCCCTTATTGGAAAAAACGATCACAGCAACCTCAGCATCACAGAGCACGGAGATCTCGTGCGCCTTCTTAAGCAAACCCGATCTCCGCTTCGAGAACGTCACCTGCCGGTTTATTTTATTCTCGATTCGCTTCAGCTGAACCCTTCCCCTTCCCATTGTACTTTCTCTCTCGGTACCGAAACCCTAATGAGGCAAGGCTGATATGGTGGAAGAATGGAGTGGAGGGTGGGAGCGCGTTTGATGAGCGAGAGTGGACGGAGGTTTGAGTTTGATTTGATATGTTGGGTAGATGGGGGGTCTCGGGGTGGTTTTACAAAACCGGAGTGGTTTTGGGTTGCTCGCTGTCAAAATATTATTGGTTGGGACCCCGAGCCGTTGCGTCTTTCTCTGCTGGCCCTCCTCTCCTCGTACGGGCCACTCCGCGATTTTTTGACGGCGGGATGCTGGTGAAAACTGGAATAAAGAGCAAGCGAATTGGTCGAAAAAAATAGTAATAAAAATTACTTTCTTCTTTATTCTTAGGTTTAGTTTGGAATAATTTTTTTTATTTTTTAAAATAAACTTTTTATTAAACATTTTTTAACCCAATTTATTTTGGCTTGTTAGTTGAGAGTTTTGGCTTCAAACTAAGAGATCTTGAGTTCGAGTCTTTTATATGCGTTGTGTGTGAGTTTGTCTTAAATGACCTAAATGTTCCAAAAAATTTAAAAATTTTGTACTAAAAAACTGTTTTGAATAGCAGCATAAAAGTTGCCGCAAACGACGCCTTAGCCCAAATAAATAAATAGCAAAAGGGAAAATATTTTGATATATAATTTATAAAATATAAGCTTAAGTCAAATTAAAAGATATTTGAATAAAAAATATAAATATATATGTTGCAGGCTAGAATATACGCGGCAGTAGAGTGAGAGAATAATGTGTTTTAGTGTTGTACGTAATAAATGAGAGAGATAAAATATAAGAACTTTTTGGCGTGGAAATTCTGGAGAAGGGAAAAACCACTGAGTCTAGCCAAATCAAATAATTTCACTAGTACTTGGAAAAATTACAAAGCTTGGTCTATCTTTTAACTCATAGACGATGAAATTATAAAAATTTTAAAGAGTTGGTCAGAATTCTGATGTTAGTCGGTGATCAGGCAGAAGTTCGGCGATGATCGTTGGTCGGGCAGAAGTCTGGTGATGGCCGATGGCCGGGCGTCAATCCGACAAGTGGCAGAAGTCCGACGACGAGCGGTGGCTGGGTGGAAGCTGTCCAGCGACCAAGGGCGGAAGCATGTAGAACTTTCAGGCCGCAGCTCCCTCGCAAGCAGGCCGCAGCTCCGCTCCAAGGAATCATGATTGTGTAAGTTTTTCTTCTTGTTTCTGAAATTTATTCATTTTTTTTTCTTCTTCCAAGTTCCAGATTTTGGTTGCTAAATAAAATAATTTATCTTTTCCTGCAAAAAAATCAACTAAGTTTTGGCTTTCTTATATTTTTCGTATGTCTTTTCCTTTAGAAAACTGGTTTGGCCAGCAGTTGAAGACTTGCAGTTCCGTGAGAATTTTTAAATTTTTTTAATTTTCTGCTTTGATCGAAATTCAAAAATAGAATTAAATTTTGCGTTGAGATAAGCATCATGTTGCCACTAAAATGTCAATTTGTTCATTTTCCTGAGAGTTGAGACTTAAGAGGGACATCTGAGGTTGCTGTATCCATGAAATTCTCTCTCTATCTCTCCCTTTCTATCTCCATCCATCTTTCTCAGAAAATATTAAACAAAGGCTCCGTTTGGAGACCTTGAGAATGGACTTGAGAAGTTTTTTTAAATAAAGCTCAAACAAGTATGGAGGCCTTGAGAATGGGCTTGATTTTCTCTAAATTCTTCAGGTAAAAGCTCTGTTTTTTTTTTTTACTTTTGGTTATGGCTAGTTATTACCCCCACCAATATATGTCTGCTTATAATTGGCGAAGCATAAGTCAGTGGCTCAGTGCTGGAAGCTACTCCATATGCTGGAGAAAAGTCTTTAAGTTCACACTTTTGATTTAGGTTTTTTTCTCCTTTCAGTGGTGATTTTAATGCTAGGCTGATATATTGAACTTTTTTTCTAATTGTTATATATCTGTTGTTATGGATTGATTTATTATTGTTGGATTGATTCCTTATATGATATTTAACTCTTTATATTGAACTTTTTTTTGTTATAAATATATATTTTTTATTTTTTTATAATTTTGCCCCCCCTAAGAATTAAGGCTGGTTCCGCCCCTGCCAGAGACGTTCGGAAATCCTGCTACGATTAGATTTCCAACAACATTCAGAAGTACGATGATTGGCGGAAGTTCGGAGATGGGTGGAAGTCTGGCAATGGGTGGAAGTTCAACAATAGATAAAAGTCTAGGAACAGACAAAAGTCTGACGGAAGTCCATCGATGGGCAGTGGTTTGACGAAAGTCTAACAAAACGCGAAAGTCCGATGATGGGCATAAGTCCGACAATGGGCGAAAGTCAGAGATAGGTGGAACTCTAATGATGGGCACCAGTTAGGCGGAAGTCGGGCAAAAGGCGAAAGTCGGGCGATGGGAGGAAGTTCGGGAACGAGTAAACACTATAGGCAAATTGCCTATTACCGGTGGTAATTTCTAGCAGTTTTTTGCTACTTTTCAACGGTTTGGAATTTTTTTTTTTAAAATTTTTTAAACCGCATAGGAAATGTAAATTATCGGCGACCAATTTTCGTCAACAAAATTTTCTGGCGGTTTTCTGGTGGCTCATACATTCAAAAATTAATGAACCAAAAATCATACCTAAACCACTGAAAAATTCTGGCGCAATAACCGCCAGCAACTAGCAGTAAAAATCGTTGGTTATTACTAATTACAAAACAAAAAAACTGGCATCAACTTCACGTAGTCCGATATCGAAGTTTTTGGCAGCTAAATCTCATTTAAATCTAATAGTTGAGAAATGAATTATTAGAAAAGATATTGCCTTAAAATCATTTAAATCTAATAAAGAAATATCATTTATAATATTTTTTAGCCAAATAATTTTAGGTCTACCTCTACCTAGCTTTCTTAATATAAGTAAAATATAATACCTCCACTTTCCTAATTGGGTCATCACAAGGTCGCCATTTTAAGCGACCAAACCATCTAAGGTGTCTTATCTCTGCAAAACATAACTTAGTGTGATGCTTTTCTTTTAATGGCCAACATTTAGCACCATAAAGCATTGCAGGTCTCACCACCATCTTATAGAATTTTCCATTAAGTTAGAGGGGGACTTTTCTCTCACACAACAAGCCCAATTCATTCCTCCACTTCAACCATCCAACTTAAATTCTATTGATAATATCCCCTTCTATTTCACACTCTGAATAATAGATCCAATATATCTAAAATGTGTATTCTTATTAATGACTTTAACGTTCAAAGTCACAATCCCCTCACTAGATGTATTACTACTAAAATAACACTCAATATATTCAATTTTAGATCTACTTAAGCGAAACCTTTAGAATCTAAGGTTGACCTCCATAATTCAAGTTTATCTTCCACTCACTATCTAGTCTTATCAATAAGAAGAATATCATCAGTAAAAAATATAAATTAAGGTACATCTTCTTGCTAATGTCTACTAAGAATATCCATGACTAAAGCAAAATGATATGGGCTTAAGGCTTTCTCAAAATCAACCTTTAGATTCAAAGGTTGACCTTCATAATTCAAGTTTACCTTCAACTCTCCCTCTAATCTTATCAACAAGAAGAATATCAACAACAAATAATATAAATTAATCAAGGTACATCCTCTTGTAAATGTCTACTCAGAACATCCATGACTAAATAAAAAATTGAGATGTATGAAGATCATCTTTGGCTAGGGTAGTTAAACGTGAGTGAGGGCATCCAAGGCAAGGGCGTGGTCAAAGTTCGATGGGTTGGAGTTCTGTTGACCAAATGAATGAGCATAATTTGGCGAGGGCACGAACGTTTGGACAAAAGAATATGAGCAGCATGAAGAAATGAGGAAGAAGGGAGGGGTGTTCAATCTTAAGGACCTTTAAGGTAGTTTTCTACAATTTTAACCGCCAGAAATTTTTTACTTAAAAATGGCAGCTAAAACACCAGTAAAAGCTGCCATAAAAAGAAAATATTTCGGTTACTGTCAGTTGACCACCAAATTTTTTGGCAATTTAGTGTTTAATATCAAAAGTTGAACCGCTAGTTAATAGTGGTGGGAAAACTGTCGATTAACAGGCGATAGTTCCATAAAAAATACCATCGATATTTAATAAATTTCCTGTATTGGGAAGTCTGGCGATAGGCAGAAGTCTAGTGATGGTTGATGATTGCGTGTAAGTCCGAGCGATGGTTGAGGAGATAAGCTAGTGGAAATAAAGATCTAAATGGTGACAGCTCTACCGGCGGAAATGTTCGTCGGTAATGTTACGACAGCTTTGTCGCTGCTAAGTTATCGATGGCTAATACGTCGGTTTTGCGCCGATATTATAAATATATCGGCCCATAATCCGCTAGTAATGACCGGTGGATTTTCAGGCGTATTTTGCATCAGCGTAACTAAAACACGACGGGATGATACCGGCAAAATTTTCGCCGGTAAAATTATCGTCGGATAGTCCGCCGAAACAATGCCGGTATTAATTAAACTTATGTCGGGAAAACCCAAGGGTTGCCTTCTCATTTCCTCCGTTCGACTTTGCTGCTTTGACACTGTTCGACTTCTCACCTTGGACGCTGTTCGACTTCGCTCCTTCGTCACGGTTCGACTTGCTCCTTCGTCGACTTCGCTCCTTAATCACGGTTCGACATGCTCCTTCATCGCGGTTCGACTTCGCTCCTTCGTCACGGTTCGACTTGCTCCTTCGTCGACTTCACTCCTTCAAAGCCGTTCGACTTCGCTCCTTTGTCGCGGTTCGACTTGCTTCTTCATCGCGGTTCGACTTCGCTCCTTCAAAGCCGTTCGACTTCACTCCTTCGAAGCGGTTCAACTTGCTCCTTCATCACTGTTCGACTTCGCTCCTTCGACGTTGTTCGACTTTCGACGACATTCCATTCCTACTGGATCAGTGCTAGGTAACTTTCTCCCTTTTGCGTTGTTTGACTTCGCTACTTCGACGACCTAGTTTCCACATTAACGCTTGCTCGTTTGCTATATAGGTAATGTCACGACCCGGCCCGATTAGCTTGTATATACGAGGCGGGAACGAAGTCGGACGATCAAAATGATTTAATCATCATATTTCAAATAAAACATTTTCCAAA